CTGTTTCTGAGGAGCTGGGTGCTATAAGTTCTTGGTTCCCCTCTGCTAATTCTCTCAAGAAGCCTGAATTTTATCTGTTGTGTATGTTTTGGGATTCTATATAAGATTTCCTTTGCAAAATGAATTTTGCTGGTTAAAAAAGATAGAAATCATAGTTCTCAGCTAGCACCCTTATTTTATGCATTATGAAACCAAGGCAAATAATAAAAGAGAAGGGATTTGCCAAGAGCACAGAAAAATTAATTTGGTACAGATCCACATATCTCCCAAAACCAGCTTTACTTGGGTATTTGTGAGAAATAAAAAATAGTGCACCACACTCCTGATCTGAATCAGAAAAGTTGAGGATGGACAGCAGTGTGCTTCAACAGTCCTTTCCACAGATTCTGATGTATTATAAAGTTTGAGACTCACTGGTATAGGGGAGTAAGCTACTCAAGACATAAGTACCAGGCAAGCCACACTACTTGGAAGTATGATGTTAGTCACACATCAAAGTATGATGTTAGTCACACATCAAAGCACTACAGAAAGATAGGTCTGGAGGTTAATAAAGAACATGGCATGTTGGGACACCAATGAAGGGGGAAAACATATTGGTTACTTACAGAAATCAGTCCTCCACCTGGTTGTGAACCACCAGTGGAAGCGCTGCCCAGCCTAGCCCTGTGGGAAATAGCAGTTGACAAGGACTTGGAGCTGTATTAATATATGAAAATTAGAGTATATATGCTTATTGTACTAAAATTAAGATGAACTCATTTAGGAAAATACCTGTCCTTATATCCTTACAATGTTACTCAAGATGCAAATCCCAAAAACAGAAATTTCATTTTTTTTAAGTAGTGAATTGGAATCTACATTATAGGTCATATGGCTTTTGTGTGATGTTCTTGAAGAAACAGAGCCATTAGTAGTTAGTAAACAAATAATTTATGTAGTAAATAGTTATGGTTACAGTTTAGTGTCAGTGATACAGCATTTTTCATCAAGATTGTAAGTGAAACAAAGCCTCATGAATAATCATAGTACATTCATGCTAGTGAGAACATATTGCAAAACTTTGCACATGCATTACAGCAGCAGACACAACTTGGGACACAATATATTTTCACTCACTTCTGGTTGGCTCTGTATTTTGTCATTGAGACTTACACTATATTTGGGTCAAACAACCCAAAGAGGTTTGTAAAAATTTACAACCATTTAACAATATTTTTGATCTCACAAATGAATAAAGCAAACTACTGTAGCTCAATGATACATAAACCAATGCTAAAAGTAGTCATTCTGCCTATGTATATAGCTAGCTAGAATATGATAATGGTGAGTATACTTAGTCTTTTCAAAGGCATAGACTAGACAAATAGTTTACAGAAATATACTGGGAGAACTAACTGTAGTGCCATTTTTGTTGAAGACTACACTCCTCAGTTATAAGACCTAAGGAGAAACAAACTAGTGGAAGGCAGAAAAGGGTTAGAAGGAGACCTGAGTAGGGAGGACTCTTTGGACAGTACATTACTTTCTCTGTGCAGTTCCAGATGTGGTTCACAGAGGAATACAAAGTGCAGTGAAATTGTTGGCCCTCAACAAGGGCACTTGTACAATGTCCCATACTTACAGCATGAATAGAATGGTAATTAAGTGCCTTTCAAAATGAACTCTTCTATGTTAAAAGAAAACTCAGTGCCAAGGATTAGTGGCTATCAATGTATGAATTGTAGAAAGATAATTTATTCAAAAATAGAAAAAATGGGTTTTCAAAGTTTTCTCCTGGAAAATGGAGGGAAGGGGAGATAGTAAGGGATGGAGAGAGAGACACAGAGAGAATATGTGTGTGTGTGTGTGTGTGTGTGTGTGTGTGTGTCTCATTACTTAGAAGAAGAAAAACTTTGTGGACCATCTCCATAAGGCACCTGTCCTTCTCCCTTCCTTGCACCTTGCACCTTAAGTGAGAGTACAAGAATACAATGGCTGTATGTTATCTTTGAAAAGGCTACTTTCCTTTGAACTTCCTTACAGAAATAGTGTCCTGGATTGACCATGCCACTCCACAGTCACACTTCTTCAGGTCAAAATAACAAATTATGAAAAAAATAACAAAATCTATAAAATTTTAAGACCTGAACAGGCACAGACTTGCTATGAGTTCAGAAACTCAGAGACTTAAAATTACAAAGCACCTCTTGCAAAATGTTCTGCTTCTTGAAATTCACACAAAACTGTGTAGTAATCCCCTGCTAAGTGCTTGGAGGTAAGTATCCTGAAGGAGACACTCTTAGCCCCACAAAGGAAGCTTGATTGTATTACTAAGGGAGCCAAAAGATTCCCAATACTTCTTTGTATTTGCTGTTTTATCATTATAGACAAAATGGAAAAGTTAAGAACTATGCAGACCTCAATATTAAAAAATAATTCTCTAATGAAGAAGCAAGATAGATATTTGCGTTAATGCTTATATAGCTCCATTTATATATTTTTATAGGTGATTCACTGACAATTTTACACAAAATTCCTTTTGCAAGGACATTAATAGGCTAAAGAGAACTTGTGCAATATAATGCTTGAAATTAATTGCACACACAGTTCCTGTGTGAATAATAATAAAGAGGCCTTGAAAAAGTGTCTTCATTGATAAACTACTACTGCCCTTTGGAAATAAAATCTCCCTCACAACCCCTGAGATCCTTCCTTGTGACACATGGTGCCACAAACATGGTGAAAAACCAATAGCAAACCTCTTTTAGATGAGTTTTGTACATTTGTTTCTATACAATCAGGAAAAAAGATACAATTTGTATCAACAAAAGGTCATTCCTGGTTATTTGAGCATTGCTTCTAGCTGCTTTGGCTCACATTTTATGAGGAGAATGGCAATTGTTTTTAGTAAATAAATACATATACTGCCTTAACAGAATTTCCTGTATTGGAAGTAGCTTTTAAGGTTTTTTTGAGTACTATGAACATGTTCAGGATGAGAAATGTAGCTGACAAGAGTAAACTTGTGCTTCCCTGTAAGTTGTGCAGCTAGTGGATACTGTGGTGCCATTGATAATTTTGATAGGAAGATGAATGGCACAAAGGCAGTAAAGTCAACTAAAATTGTCATATACCCTGATTTAAACATGAGACAGATTTAGAAGGCCCAAAATGTTGAAAGTAGGAGGTGGTATTTTGTGAAATAGCATGTACTTCCGTGATAACTGTCATTCTCTATAGACCTACCTGATAAAAAATGTTTTTACACCTTCATGTGCAAGAGAATGGGAAAATCAGAGGGTAGGAGATGAATATAAATATGAAGTTGTGGTTAACTAAAGAGAAACATTGATTGAGATGCCGTTTTGATCAACTATGGACAGACAAAAAGCAGCATGCAAGCCATTAGCAAATGACCAGAAACAACCCTGACTACAGCCTCACATTCAGAGTGTTTCACAATAAGAAACATTAATAGGCAGTGTCATACCTTCTTATGAAGAAACAAAGGCCAAAAGCAGGCCTTCTCAACTTTCATGAAAAAATGACCATAGAAATTAGCAAGTTCCAGCTCAAGAAATAGTGAGCTGGTGATGGTTCAAAATGTTGAAGTATACAATGGATTCAAAAGGGAGTTCATTTAGTGCAGCTTAAAAAAAAAAAAAAACACCTCTTTGAGAGGCATTTAGCTACAAATATACCCACCCTGAGCAATATACAAGTTGCACAAATGGTGTAGCAGAGGCCTGCCTTCTTACTACATTAAATGATTATTTAAGGGCCATTTCATCTGCTGGATTAAAAATGTGATTTGTTAGCAAACTTGCAGCATCCCTTTTTGGAAGCTGTCTTTTCCACCTAGAAAATCCCCTGGTTTTGTTTCTTAAATTCTGCTCTCAATTCTGCCAATGAGTGATTATTGCCTAAAGTGTGGACAGCAGGAGAGAGGGGTTACATAACTGCATTGTCTTCCATTACATTTCATCCTGTGACATTGAATACTACATAGATCACGGGTGCAAAGAGCATTGTGTCATCTCACAAAAGAGTGCATCTTTTGTGTTCCATACTGAACGCTTTATGAGTTTGACCATGTCTCTTGGGATAAAGGAAGCTTACTCTTGTAGTAAATCCCTTGGTCCTGGTCAAGCTTTTTTTGTACTTGTCTAGCACACACATTTTCAGAAGGCTGCAATCTAATCCCTATTTGCTGAGGTGAAGAGACTTAAAAGCTAGTAAGAACTGTCAATAAATACTGACAATTAAGAAGTACAAAGGAAATAGAGCTGGTTTGCTCTGTTACTTAAGAAAAGCAATGTTCAAATATAGGCAAAACTAACTGAAACTATGAAATGTCATATAAAAAGTTGAGTCAGATTTGTGATCTGTACAGCTGTAGATTGAGGACGGTGCAGCATCTGTCTTTTCACCCTCACTATCTAAAAGGTTATACAGAGATGTACACATCTCAAACTAAATACATATAGTCACACATGCAATATAATTGCTAACAATAAGTTTGAAATATAGCTCTAGAAACTTCAGTGTGACTCTATAATGTGGTTATTAAAGATATTGACTGGTCAGATAGCCATGCAATGAAGTATTCATTTACTTTTAAATAGCTGTATATATTATTACAAATCCTAAAAGGTTAATTGCACATATGACCTGATCCTGATGCACTCCCTAAATTAAATGTATCATTGATACATTATAATATTGTATATGTGACTAAGAATCCCTTTGGGTTTCTTGAGTTTAGGCCTCTCCCCCTGGATTTTATTCTCCATTACTTGCATGGTGTAGTGCAATAGGGCATGGAATTTGGAGTCAGAGGACTTGGATGAGAGTTCTGAGTTGGTCAATTGGTCTCAGTGTGAACTTGGCAAGTCATTTAATCTCATCAAGTTTTAAAATTTCTAATGTCTAGAAAACATGACATTAGTAAAACTTACCTCACATTGAAGGGTTATGCGCTTCAATGTTATAAACACTTTGCAACTTGTAAAGCACAACACAAAATTGTTAGTTACATAGTATTAGTGCATTATTGGTATTAATATTCATATTTGTATAAAGGAATAAGTCGTGTCATGTCAACGTGCAGACCTAAGCTTAGAAACAATCAAGGCTGCCAACTGCTGAGCATCTGCTGTGTGGGGATTCTTCTCCATCACTGCAAGGACAATATTTGAAGGAAAAATATTGCAGAGGTTCTTATAGGTCTGATACTGGTGCTCAGGGATCATATGCTCCCTGGAATCATTGCACATTCCAACCCAAGGATTCCTCCAAAGTTGCTCCATCTTTTCTGGCACGCTTCGTACCATGACTGGCTCATAGCATGGCTGCATGAGACTGTGACTCAAGGGATGGGAGTGGTAGCCATAGGAGTCAGTTGAACATTGCACTGGGTCCCAGCTGGCATGTTGTTCCCGACACAGAGGAGGTCGTCTTTGCTTTATGGGGTTGCTCTCATAAAGGCGTGAGTCAGAAATGCTGTCCATCCTAGTCATCACTAGAGCACGTCCTGCCTGGGGGGGTGTTGCACCAGGATATATATTGGGAGGCAAGGGGTAGTCTCCAGCACAAGAAGAGCATGCTTCAGTTACTGAATGTTGGGCATGCAGAACTAAGTGGGAAAATGACTGCTTGTGGGGGGCTTGTTTAGAATCATCTGGGCCATAGCTTTGCACCCGGGTTAAGGCTTCATGGTACCCATGAGGAAAAGGCTGGAGTCGGTTTTGAGATGCTGAACAATGCAGTTTCAAACTGCCTTCAGAATGGGCATCAGCTACAGTCATGTACAGGTTGTTATAAGTGGAATAGCTGTCGTTCCTGGTATGGCTCATACAGCTGTCAGGGCAGAGACTGGGGTTCCGGGCAAATACACCCCAGTCTGCTTCAGCCATGTAATATTCTCGATTATGTATGCTGTTAATATTCAGTTTGGAGAAGTCGCCTAACATTGAATAGTAGCCATGGTCCCCCAAGGACTGAAACTTTGGGTATTGCTCAGCATAACTAATAGGGGGACCATGGCTGTTGGTTATCAGGATGGGAGGGTACTGAATACTGGCCATGTTCTCCAAAGAGGCCTTCTGGTGGGAAAAATTAGAGGATCCTGGCACTGGGCTGCTGGACGAACGGGTATTGAGTGCACCCACTGCATGGCTTTTGGGGGGTTGGAATGTAGGGACACTTAGGGCCGTGACAAGTGAGGGGACAGAACTTGCCTCAGGTTTATGGGCAACAGTCATCCATTCCTCAGGTTCCATAGCCATAGACCGAATACTGGGATCTGATTGGCGCTTGGGGGCCACCTGTTTGACTTCTGAAGTTATCTCACCTTTGGCAATAGGTAGCCCTGTGCCACCCTTGACCAGGGTACCTTCACTCATGGTTTTCACCGTGGACAGTTTGGCACTGATGCGGAGCTCATCAGCCACTGAACGCTGGGGTTGGTTGGCCCGCTCTGGATGATAGTATTTGCACTTGTGGCCATAGGTGCATTTTTTCCCTGAAAAATAGTACCTTGGGGTAAGATTCTCTCACAGTAGTGCGATGCACTGTGCTAAAAACTGGTCACTCAGGTGACCTGAGTGACCAGTTTGGGATTAAGGCAAAAAATTAATGGACCATAAAGATGACAGACAGACAACACCAAGGAGGTATCACATTCTGTGAAGAAAGTGGTGGAAAAGGGAAGCTAGAGAGGAAACTGCAGTGTGAAAATTGAGCAGTTGAACAGCCTTCATTATCCTCAAGGCTCACAACTTTGCCTTGGTATAACAGGCAGAGATGGTGTAGAGCAGCAACAGGTAGCATAATGCACTGCAAAGAGCACAAGCTTGTGGACTATTAGAGCTAAGTTTCAACTCTAGCTATGTCACTTACTGATCTTGTAAGTAACTTTACTACTTAAGCTTCATTTTTCTCTTCTGCAAGCTAGGCTCATAATCAAGCATGTTATAGGGTCATTATGAAGATGAAGTAAAGATAATAAATGTGAAGATATGCTATGATCTAAATAAGCGTTATTTGTGAAGGAAAAAACAAGATGTCCCATAACTAAAAAGTGAAACATCCAAAGTAGCTTCAGGCCAGTTAACCCATGTTTCATGGCTAGGCTCATGAATTTGTATCAGAGTCACTTAATATCATGAATGCACTATAGAAAATTATTTTTCTTTTTAAAAAGTAAATTAAAATGAAGTCTGAAAGCAAGCTGAAACGTAGGGTTCTAAAGAAAAGGATATTATTATTGATAGTTGACAAAGGGTATAGGTACCTGCCTGAGAGATACATCCTTCTTGGTGACAAACCCAGTTTGGCATTGACCTTTCTGCTTCAATAGGCCATGTGGGTTTCTGGAGGTTCCTGTCCTCTATTACATTGCTCAGGACAGAAACAGCTAGAGCACAATGCATCATTCTATCAAGTGACAACAAATGTAGTTCCAGGATGTTTCTTTAAATGTGTAACTGAGAATATATGAAGATACAGACTTTAACTCACAGAAAGTGAATAAGCTGGAATTTCTTAATTGGAAAGGAAACATTGAAAGTATTCTCAGAGTATTTGTCTCCCATAGTACAGAACTTGTTCTGCACAGAGGTACTCACCATAAGGGCATGGTTGCTTCTTGTGCTCAGGAACAACAGGTCTCTTTGTTAAGAAATTTTCAAGGCTTGGGCCATGACGCCCTAAAGGATCATCTGGAGGCATAAATCTGAAAGTAAGCAAGTAGGATGTTTCTTTACTCTGTTCCCACTATTGCTTGTCACAAGTTCATACCTGCATTACCACTTGTCTATACTGTCATGACAGCCTTCTAATTGCCCTTCTTTCCTCAAGTTTATCTTCTAAGCAAGCAGTCCTTCCCTCTGTTCACATTTAGCCACAATAAAAAATGTCATTCTTCCATGGGCTACATACTAGCATGTCTGTTGGTTTCCTCAACATGCAAGACACTTGCAATCCAGATGTTCTTCCTCTTTAACTGTTAATGTACAGCAGCCCCCTTTCTTGTCTGTGTATTTCATCAGAAAGTATTTATTTTCCTATCATTTCACATTGACAAACAACTTTTAAAAATTACAATCATAGCACTTATCACAACACAGTGTGTTTGTTTTTCTATCCACCACACTTTAGAACTTTTAAGGATAAGTCTCATTTCTTATTCAGCCTTTTATCCCCATGGCCATCAGGATAATGCTTAGTATACAAAAAGTGTTCACTAAATGTTTATTGATATGAAATCTATTCCTAGTTTTAACTTGGATTTAGGCTATTTGGTACCTTCTGAAAAGAAACATACTTGTCATTCACGAAAGAATACATTAATAACCGCTCCTCTATAAATTTCTTCCATTCTGGTTTTTCAACTTGAAGGTCTCGGTAGTTATCATTGGATACTATGATGCCATCAGAATCAAAAGCCAGTTTAACTATGAACCGGTCATCGTAGCAGACAACTCTCCTGCCCTGGACCCTTCTGGATGGCGTGAAGACAAGAATCTTTTCCTTTTCCAGCTTACGTAGGATATCTTGATCTGTTGAAATATGGATTGACATACCACAAAATAGAAATTATCCCCATATTGCAAATATGAAAGTTGGTATTAGATGAATGTATTATTTGCCCTTAGTGAGAACATGGTCTCTGTTCCTAGAAATAGCACCAATTTGGATTGAGACTTCAAGCAAATCACCTTCACCTTTGAAATTCGGGTTTTATTTATTTTTTTACTGATAAAATGAAGGGGCCAAATTTAATGGTATCTGAATTTTAAAAACTATCAAGAATAGTGAAAAAATCACAATGATAGCATCCTTGATGCTTGGTTTGCCTTTTTGCTGAGGGACTAGCATTTTGCTGCTTAAGAAAACTGGACAGTATTCTGAGAAGCAGTCTGCCAGAAGGAATGTTTTACCTTCTGCCAGAAAGAAGGTCATAACTAAGGGGAAACATCAATCTGTAGCATGTGAATATTAACCCTCTTTCTTTTTAACCTCTTAAATTGTTGAGGAAAGAAGGCTTGCTGCGCTGGGGCAAGATCCACTCTCAAATGTCTGTTCAACAGCAAGCAGACATTTCTATGACATAGTTTTGACAGCCAGTCACTGGACTTTCTCATTTAGCATATCAGCAACAGGTGATACTTAAAGAACTGGGGTCTGTATGTCTTGAAACACCATAGAGAACAAGCTTCATATACTGCTGTTAAGTGAATGTAAAGATCCTACTGCTATTAGGACTATATCATGACTATTGTGAACAATAAACACTTTTGCTTTTGTGGGCCCCTTCTTCCATAAAGTGGTATTAAAAATACTTAAATCTGTGTTGGTATAAAGACAAATAATCGAGTTAGATTCATTATTATTTATTCATTGTTATCACATTAAAATTTTCCTTATGATGTTTAAAGAAAATGAAACATTTATGCAGTGCTCTAAATGTGTTGTGGATCCTAGGCATTGGACCTGCTGTGCCTCATAGATAAACTGACTGATTGCTATGGGAGGACTTTTCTCATTTTATATTCTACTCCTTAATTTGCACCCTCACAACTATTTTTGTAGTATAGAATGAGATCCATTGTATACCATCGTTTATTTAGACATTTGGGAAACTTAGAAACATTCATAACCAGATTATTTATCTTTTAGTCTGAAGTTTATGGCCAGACAGAAAAGTACCCTCTTTTTTTCAGCTGTATGCTTTATTTTTTGCCGAATTGAAGTTGCTGAATTAACTGCCATATGTCACAACACAATATTGGGTTAATTTAACTAAAAAAAAATCATACTTAAATAATTTCACCTGGTAAAAGATCTTTTAAGTATAATTAATAAACTTAGAAAAAATATTACCTAAATTGTGACCATCAATCTCTCACTAAACTATTTTGCTAGCTTTTCTTCTAGATAAGAATATACATCTGATTTGAAATATTACCTGTAATTGGTGCATCAGGGCGGGATTGCTCCTTTCTCCAAGCAGGCACAAATACAGTAATATTTTTATGGCCTTTATCTAGAAACCAATCCACAGCAAGTTGTATTCCTCTGCAGGAGAACTCCTCTTTATTCCCATGGCTTTAAGATAATAGAATAGGTTGACAACAGGTAGCAAAAAAATACTCCAAAATTTTTTTTTTAATTATTACTGAGGCATTCACAATAGATAATTATCTTTCTTAATGATGCTAAAATATACTTTTATTATCACTATCATTTACTTTTACTCAAATTTTATTGATTTAATAGTCATTTTAAAATATGTGATTTGGGAAGTACAGCTTCATATCTTGACATATGCACTTGCTTTATTGACCCCCCCCCATCAAAATCTAGTGCCACTATACTATCACATTTACCCCTCAGCTTTCTCCCTCCCTTCTCCCTTCAGATGCCCATATTTTTCAGAGTCTTAGGATTACAAATTTTTTTTCAAAAGAGAAAATCAAATTATTTTTAATTCAATCATTGTAAGTAAGGCCCCAGATTGTTAATAAGAACTCCTAAATTATAACATGATGGTGGTTATTGCCTAGTTTGGTTCCATTGCCTTTTATCTCTTTCTGTTTCTGCTATAAGCCTCTTAAAATATTCAGGTAGACACAAGAGATAATAAAGAGGCTAGTTAACGAAGAAGAGCTTTCATCAGTGCTTTAGATAAAGTTAGATGGACAATTAGAGATGTGTCATAAGCATATGTGTAAAGTCTAAACATTGTCAGAAATAAAGACTACATAAATGACTGATTATGGTTATTGCGCTTATGTATAATACAAAACCAAAAAATATATATGGTACATCTTTCTGATGTTTTGATTCCATAACTATATTCCATGTCCATATTATCTATATATAGTACTAGAGAATTTCAACACCCCATTTTAACCAATAGAAAAATGAAGAGACAATAGCCTTAAATTAGGAACTATATCACATGCACTTAATAAAGATTGATAGCACACTATACACCCTAAAAGCTAAATGCATACTCTTCTCAATTATACATAAAACATTCTTCATGATGGACCATATATTGGGTCAAAAAAGCAAATGTCAATAAACTCATGAAAAATAAAGTCATATTAAATATCTTCTCATATCATAATGGCATCAAGCTAGAAATCAACCACAAAGATAAAGCAGGAAAAATCCTCTAATATATGGAATCTGAGCAACACATTACTGAATGACTAATTGGTTAATGAGTAAATCAAAGGAGAAGCTAAAATGTACCTGAAGACAAATGAAAATGATGACTAAAAAACCAAACTTGTAAAAGAAGTAAAAGCAGTACAAAGAGGGAAGAATATAAAAATACAGGATTACATCAAGGAAACAAGTCAAAACTCAACTAAATGATTATACCTCTCATCTCAAGGAACTAGACAACAAACAAAACAAAAAACCCATAGGAGAAATAATGAAAATTGTATCAGAAATAAATGAAATAGAAAAAAAAAGACCAAAAAAATCAATTAAAAAAAAAAACCCAAACCTGGTTCTTACACACACACACACACACACACAAAAAAAAAAAAAAAAAAAAAAGAGAGAGAGAGAGACAGAGAGCTAAGTTCAAAAGTGATTACTATGAACACTTCTATATCAGTAAGTTGAATAACCTAAAAGAAATTACAAATTCTTAGAAATTTACAACTGGTGAAGATTAAATCAAGAAGATACTAAGGACCTTCCCTTGTGGTGCAATGGGTTAAAGCACAGCACTGCAGTTAAGCCACAGCCGCTTCAGTGTGAGTTTGATCCCCAGCCCCAGAGGTGATCCACATGGTGAGACAGACCTCCCCTGAACTGCCCACTGTTTCTCTCAGTAGTGTACTTTATCGATCCCCACTTTGTCTCTGGTGAATATTCTCACTGCCCCTATACCTCTGGCCTGTATCCCAGTTCTATATGCATAAATAAATAAATATTAAAAAAAAAGATAGTAAACTTGAACAAGCCAATTACAAGTAAGGCAATTGAAGGAATAATCAAAAGGCTCTCCAAAACAAAAGTCCATAACCAGAGAATTTCATTAATGAATACTACAAAATCTTCAAAGATGAACATATTGCTATTTTTCAAAAAAAAAAATTGAGAAAGAAGGAATGTTTTCAAAGGTATTTTATGAGGCCAACATTACTCTGATATCAAAAGCAAGCAAACACATCACAGAAAAGAAAACAATAGAAGAATAACTTATAAATGGGGGGAGGGAGACAAAATTATCAGGCAAATACAAAGCAGAGACATTCAGTAGGAGAGGGGAAGGAAGAGCTATTAAAATGGGCAGGAAGAGCACAAAAGACTATGTTGATGTTTTACAGGTGACTTGGTGGTGGGAATTTTATGGGGACTACATGAGAAGAGAAAGAAAACTATCAAAATGGATAATGATGTAAAATATAGAGAGAAATAAAGACCATGGAGTCAAAAATCCTCAATAAAATATTAGCAAACTGAATTCACCAATGCATTAAAAGGATCACATAAGTGATTAAGTGGGATTTATACCAAGGATGCAAGGATAGGTTAATATCCAAAAATTAATGAATGTACCTCAAAATTCACCCCTTCAACAATAGAAAAGATAAAATTGTATGGTTATGTCAATAAATGCAGGCAAAACATTTAATATAATTTAACATCTGTTTATAACAAAGACCTTAAAAAATAATGATAGATGGAACAAACCTCATTATATTAAAGAGCATATATGAGAAAGCCACAACTAACATCATACTCATTTATGAAAAACTGAAAAATTTTCCTTTAAGATCTGATATAAGACAAGGATGTCTAATTTCACTATTACTATTCAATATAGTATTGGAAGTCCTAACTAGAGCAATTAAGCAAGAGAAATATATAGAAAGTAATCCATATTGGGAGAGAAGTAAAGCTATCATTATTTGCAGATGAAGTAATACATAAAAACCCTAAAAACTACTAAAAATATAATTGAAAGAGTAAATCAGTAATGCAAAGTAGCAGGTTATAAAATCAATATTCAAAAAATCAGTTAAATTCTTATATGAAACAATGAATTTAAAAATGAGTAAATAAAACAATAACATTAAAATGAATTAAATAACCAGGAGTAAACTTGACAGAGGATCTGAAGGACCTGTACAATAAAAGCTATAAAAGGGCCATCCCTGGTGGCACAGCGGGTAAACACAGACTAAGAAGCTAAAGCTACTTCAGCATGAGTTCGATCCCCAGTCCTGGAGGTGACCCACATGGCATGGCAGACCTCTACTGACCTGCCCACTGCTTCTCTCAGCAGTGTACTTTGCTGATTTGCCTGTTCTGCTCCCCACTCTGTCTCTGGTGAATCCTCTCACTGCCACTGCACCTCTGGCCTGAACCTAGTTCTGTATGCATAAATAAATAAATGTTTTTTTTTTTTTAAGATTTATTTATTTATTCATACAGAACTGGGGTACAGGCCAGAGATGCGGAGGGTGAGAGGATTCACCAGAGACAGAGTGGGGAGCAGAACAGGCAGATCAACGAAGTACACTGCTGAGGGGAGCAGCGGGCGGGTCAGAAGAGGTCTGCCACGCCATGTGGTCACCTCCGGGGCAGGCGGGGATCGAACTCATGCGGAAGTGGCTTTAGTTTCTCAGTGCAGTGCTTTAACCCGCTGCGCCACCAGGGAGGGCCCCAATAAATGTTTTTTTTAAAGCTATAAGAAAATGCTAAAACAAATACAAGAAGACATAAAGAAGTATGGGATGGAGACATACCATGTATGAGAATAATTAAGATTGTTAAAATGACCATTGTACCCTAAGGAATTCATAGGTTCAATGTAATCCCTAAAAAAAATTTCAATGCAATTCAAGGAAATATAACAAACACTACTTAAATTCATATATAACCACAAAGACTGAATAATCAAATCAGTCCTAAAGAAAAAAAAGGAAGAATAGGTATCACAAACCCATAATTCAAAGATACTACAAAGATACTACTACTATACTACAAAGATATAAAAATCAAATCATGTTATCAGACCCAAACCAGACACAGAAAAAAATAGAAATGAGTTGAAAGTCCACAAGTAAATCCACACATTATGTACTTTTAATCAACAAAAGAGCCAATATACACTTGAGTAAGTAAATTCTCTTCAATAAGTAGTGTTAGGAAAATGGGCAACCACATGTAAAATAATAAAGCTAGACTATGTCACATCATATAAAAAATTGAGTAAAAATAGGTTAAAGACATGCATATAAGACCAACAGCTTTCCATTTCTCCTTCAGTGTGAAAGAGCATCACTGTCAGTGAAAACAAAAATAATTACTCCTGGTGTTTTGCTGAAACATTAGTTGCAAGGCCTTCTAGCCAAATATCTGTAGTTTCATATTGTTGGATTAATCATTGTACTCCTGGGGACTGCAATTTTCTGTAAGTTTGCTGTGGTTGAACCCTGAAAGAAGGCATGCTATATTTTATAGAAATTATGATTCCATGAAAAATTTTGAGGATATAAGGAAAGCTGGTATTTTTTTTTTTAAGATTTATTTATTTGTACATACAGAACTGGGGTACAGGCCAGAGGCTCGGGGCGGTGAGAGGCTTCACCAGAGACAGAGTGGGGAGCAGAATAGGTAGATCGACGAAGTACACTGCTGAGGAGAGCAGCGGGCGGGTCAGGAGAGGTCTGCCATGTGGTCTCCTCCGGGACAGGCTGGAATTGAACTCATCCGGAAGTGGCTTTTTAGCTTCTCAGTGCAGTGCTCTAACCCGCTGTGCCACCAGGGAGGGCCCGAAAGCTGGTATCTTTTAGAGTGCAAAGTGATCCTGAATCATAAAGGATTTCTTTGGCTTGATTTGCACGAAGTATATCACTGACTTGTATTCCTGGACTATGAAACATGAATATTTGTGCTTAGGAATAATTTGTCTTGATAAAATAACAATAAATTACTATGAAACAAAGTGTAAAAAAGAGATAGATACTTCCCCAAAGAAGAAAAAGATGGTGCTCAACCACAAATGGTGGACAGGAAAAAGTACTCATCATGACTTATCATCAGGGGAAATGAAAATCAAAATTACAATG